ATTTTCATATAATTTTCCCTTTTGAAATAATTTTGTATTAAGAAATATCATTGGTCAAACTTGGCCATTTGCAAGATATACAATACTTCACAAACACATTACAAACTACTTGTGGTTGATAAGAAAAGGCCACACAAGTTACCCAGATCCTTCAACATAGAATATACCTTCAAGTACTATCTTTAAAAAAACAACTGAAATATATGAAGTATACTATTCCCTCGGTCCCCTATTTTTGTCCAATTTTATCTTTTTCATCCGTGTCCCAACTTTGTGTCATGCCATATTTGATAAAATTATTTGAGTTGCTACTATTCATTTTTACCGTAGTACTTTATTTACACTTTTAAATTTAATACCAACTATAAAGTTTCATTTATTTAATAACCCCCCACTCCCTTTTGTCTCAATGTGAGGGTATGAAAGCAGTACTTTTTAGTTTTTATCGACCACCTATTTATTTTATATATAAAGATGATCAAATTTAACTTGTTACATTTTATGTATAGTCATAGAATCAAGTTCAAGTAATCTATTACGGAGTATTTGTTATTCTGATACGTAGTTTTAAATCTCCACTTAAATCCAGCACTTCCTGAGTTTTTAGGATGCTTGCCATTGAGATTACGCATTAATATATAGCATCGAGTCAAGATATGCAAGTGTTACTTTTTATATACTCCGTAAGTAAATACGTAAACATCATACTACGTACTAAACTATTTTCCTATCTATGAGTATTAAAAATTTTACTACCCCTTAGAGTTTTTTTCAATTAGAATAAAATTATATCTTTAGTAATGATATATATATTAACACTTAATTAAAAAGTTAGATTTTTGTATCAAATTAAAAATACTCTCATTAATATATAAATTATAAATTATACTATGTACTACATAGTACTCCGTATAAATTTATAAATAGTCCTTTTCTGAAGCCACACTATAACGATTAACGAAGATGTTATTTTGACACACGTGTTGATTTTTCTGAGTTATTTTAATAAGGAGGTGTTCTGATGAAATTGGTTCATTTTCCGCCGTATCCTCCCCTCAACTTCTCAAGCTATAGTGCCGTCAATTTCTGTTTGTCTTTCTTTTCAGGGCATAGGTATTATTCAGAAATACGATTTCTTAAACTAATCTACTTTCATCTTGGTTCAAAAATTGCATAAAACTGATTTTGGTTTTTTTTTCGCTTTTTAATTCAACCAAAAGGAGAAGAAAGCCTATTAAAAACAAAGGTTTTCTGGATTTTTATTCTCTTAAACAATAAAGCTACTAATCCTCAATCTTGATGAGCAGCAAAACAAGCGTTCTGGTTTGACTTGGATAGAGCAAGCAGAAGCATAAATCAGCGGCATGAACCATTAAACCTTGTTGATCAGCAAAGGATATAACTAAAGAAAGACCAAATTGCAGTGATACAATAAAAAAATGCAGCATCTTTAACGTGAAGTGAAACAATGGAAAGAAAGGTTGCCTGATTATGAGCACATTGAAGCATCTATTTATACAATTTCTATTGTAGAGACTATTTAGTTCCGGCATTGAGCATACCAATAAATTAAATTTTACTTGTTTCCAAGGCACAAATTCCAGAGGCGTATTGGATGCCTGATTGTGTGTTACGAAGTGGGCATTCCAAACGGTATAATATACTTCGTAATATCTTAAAAGCCATCAATAGCATTAATTGAGGGGAGTTCATTGTATCAAAACCATACGAAATCCAATAATATATTCAGCATGAAATTAAATAAGTGTAATCCAGTGCATCTCTCCATACGGTTAACATGATGGACCCCAATGAAATGGGCGGGAACACTGTTCATGAATCAATTTACTATTATATTATAATAATAATAATAATAATAATAGATATGGATTTCTCCAACTTCATAATAATGTGTCATTGAAGAGGAAAATTAATTGAGGAAGCAGGGGGAATACACTATGAAGGTGGTAGGAGACGGATTGTAATTGTTTCTCATGGCGCATCTATGCTAGAGTTGCTGCAAAAAATATATGTAGCTACACATATTCCTCCGAGCCATTTTTTGGAAGTGCGAGTGAAATATCTCCTTCATGGGGGATCATACATGCTAATGTCACTTGATGATGAGAAAGTTCTCACAGGAATGCTGACGCTAGTCCAGATGATGACTATGTCCACAATGGATATATACATTGCATAATCCATATGTGACATTTCTATAACTCCGTCAACATAAAATGTTGTTGTATCTGGGCATGGTGTTCATGCAACATCCTCCCCAAATAAGCCCGTTTTGAACATGGTTGTAAAGGAGGATGAGAGGTTTCTGCACAATGGTGCATCATTTTTGGATGGCCATTGATGATGATGCTGATGAACACATCAATGATGATGAAATGATGGAATCGGATGAAGGTGAGGGTGATACTGTGAGCACAACTGCCCTATCTAGTCATTATACTATATTATATGATCTCCCGCCTGACTTTGATGATGCGTGGAGGAATGGAACAAGTGTGAACAGGTTTACATTATATGGTGAATTTGAGGTTGGTCAACAGTTTGATAACAAAGAACGACTAATCAATACGGTGAGCTTGTATTCTATCAAACGCAACAAATTTGTTCGTGTGCTGGAGTCAGATAAACATAAATGGGCTGTAAAGTGCAAGAGAAAAAAGAAATGCGATTGCACTTGGAAAATATTTTATTTATTTATTTATTTATTTATTTATTTATTTTGATGAGATAGTTTTAATTGTTCGTTACCTCTTTTCGGCGTGGCGTTTATTGTCATCAATGACAATATTTTTCAATAACGACACTAATGAATCATATTTCGGGAAGAAAAACATAACGGTACTATTTTCAAATTCCGAAACATGTTTACTTTTTAACTGAAACACACAAACATACGTTAAAAATTAATATTTATCAAGCATTGCTTTGATGTTCACGTTGAACGAACATCAAGGTAGTGTACATCATAAAAGTCTCATTAATCAAGGTAAAAGTTCAGAGTTCAGACATGATATCTTTAACAAAACGAAACCAACTCTCAAGATCTTTATAAGAGTATACAATATACTGTATAATTGTATATATTAGTATAAACTCAATGGAGCTTAGTACATGTGAAATTTATATTAACTTCTAGAATATCTTGCTTAAATCATTGTGCAAAACAAATGCAACATAAGTTGGGATTTGAAGCTATGGTGCCGCAAAGACCACCACGTGAGCCATACCCTGCATTTGCACAGATCTGCTTGCAATCTGAGCTCATTTTACACCTTCCTGTGCATATTGCCTCTTTTGGTTCAAAATGCTTATTTCCATAAGCATCTGATATTGAACCTTTAAAAAAATAAAATTCAATTATTATAAACCTCAATCAACAAATTAAAACTACAAAATTGAAATGCTTCCCATCTTCTTCATAATAAGCTAAAATGAGAGTAAATCATTTTTATAAAAATAACAATACATATTATAATGAATACCTAAGTTTGCGATCATAGTAACAACAACCAGAAATAACTTGAAAAATGAAGCCATTGAAACCAACACTTTTTTTGCGATTCCCTGTCTCAATAAATTGCTTTTTTGTATTTGACAAGAGATTGCAAGGCACTAATGTTAAGGTTATACTACGTATATTTATATGCATAGCTGACAGCCTAATTACACGCTGACGTTTATAATAATAAAATTATGAAAAAAACATTAACCATATATGCTAATTTGGTATGTTATTTATTGGTAATATCTTATCTAAATTAAAGCATCAAGGATATAATAATTAATTCATTTTAGTGTTACAATATTATGTCAATCGCATTTGGTATGTGTCTTAATTTGTCCACTTCTAGTACATGACTATTACGTCTGGTGCATTCACGATGTTTCCGATCAAATTTTAAGCATCAGTCTTTGGGACGATTTTAAGCACCTTAAACATAGAAGGAAAGGGGCCACATACGAACATGAAACAATAGTTATAGATTAAAAGTGGGCCAAGTAAACATCTATAAAAATAGGATGATCTAAATAATATAATACATACTCTTACGACAAAAACTCAAATTTATTTTCATTATACTAGGTAATAATCTACAATTTGGAAATAAACAATTTATTTGTTAACTTGTGGTAAACTTGGATTCTCGTTGGTGTACATCCACGGACCACGGGTGCATTTAGTAAGCCAAATTCCCAAACAGGTGCATTTAGTATGCTGAAAAGGCAATTTATTAACAAAAATTATATTTTCCTTGTAAATCTGTATGTGTGATTTTATTTTCTTTATCGAGTAATTGTCGTCAATGGTAAACTATTGAAGTTGGATGATTACTAAAAACTCTAATTTAAATATTCTATTAGCTAATTATATTCTAATCTACACAAAGATATATAAATAACAAAAAATCATTTGAAGTATAATTAAAGAAACTAGAGTGACCTCAATGCATAATGAATTAATGATCATAATGTAACTTTATTATTAATAGTTATATTGAACTTTATAGTTTATACTATTATGTTCATAATAGTGTTCTTCCCAAAGTGCTATTTTTTTGTAAAGCTATAGGAGCAAACCATGAACACATTTGTTCAGTAACAGGGTATATATAAATTGATACGATCATTCCAACTCATAACATTGTGTAATGATATAACCCATAGGTCAAGGCCTTTTTTAACAAATGAAAAAACCCTGTTAGAGGTCGGCTAATGGGTGTAACTTTCCCTTTTTTGCATTGTTTGTACTTTGTAGATCTTATTACGGAGTATTTATTTATAGAATTCTTTTTTTGTAAATGAATTGACCAAATAATGACCACATATTTATTGATTTTGAGCCAATACTTCGTTTTCCTTCCACTTAATAACAAGTTAACAACCATAACCACAAATATTCCTCAACATTTTCTTCCCGGATTTCTTCTATAAGTTCCTCCCTATATTCTTTTGATTTCTCGAACAATACAAGTTGAAGAAAATTGAAAACAGTGACTGCTTTTCTTTTAATAATGAAAGTTAATAGTGGTTTCTTGCATTTCTCTTTGGGTATTTACATTTTATCGCATGTTTCAGGTGGTAGTCGAAGCTGCCTCAATGGAAGAACTAAAAGCATAAAATGCATTTCCCTAAGTATTAGAATACTCAAATCACTAAATGAATGCACAAGAGCATTATATGACCTTCTCTCTTCCAAAAAATAAGAAATAAGACATAATTGAAATGGAGGAAACTATCAGTTCTGAAATTGTACACAAGGTTTTTCTTTTCTGCCTCTAAACCATTTCTTTAAGATGGATATTAGCAGCATCAGACACCAATGGAATATCAGCATATCTACCAGCAAGCGTACACTTCATGCACTGAAAGATCATCATGAGGAACCCAACAGTAACAGCCGCCCAAATATGTGTCCCAATATTATTTCCCCAATGCACAAAAGGGGGCGTCCAACCATATACAATGATGATGATATGCATCCAGTTCTCCAACAGAATCGCCATTATGACATGGAATCTGAAAAAATGTGGCCATTCCTTTCTCTTCACTACAGCAAAACAAGCTGTGAAGGTATATGCCATCAAAAGCCAGCTGGGCAATCTTCTTAGAAAGTTATTGTAAGGGTTTGATAGATAATCGGATTTCTCCACAAAGGGTCGAAGATGGAATGATTCGCCAGCAAAATACCATGTCAGATGGAGAGGCATTAAATAGGGAAGACACGCTAAGGTTCTCCACCACCATTTCGGTTTCTCCGCCATGTCATGGTAAAAACCCTTAAATGCTCTTGTAGTGAGAGAGAAGTGTTCTTTTCTTGGTGAATTTAGAGTATCACATGAAAAGAGGGTATGACTGTTGGAAGCAGGTGAAGGCACATCATAGGTTATGTCCTTGAAAGCTTTTGTATGTGAGAGAGGATAACAGGGTTGCCTTGGTAATTTCAGCTTTGCACATGAGGCTGCACACATTCTCCATTGCGAAAGTAGTGGTGATAATGAAGAAACTCCTGAAATGACAACAAAGTGCACAGCATGCTGAGACAAGTAGTGAAATCTACATTACAATTAGTTCACACCAGTAATATTTTATGTTTTTAACAACTGTCACATTACGAATTTCCTAGGATTAATACATTAGTTTACATCACTCCACTTAGTATATACCCTATCGGCCTAATTCACTAATCTTCATTATGAATATTAAGGAATAGATTGTATTTAATATGTAGAAGGGATAAGTGACTTTTTATATCTTGCCTGAGATTGAGTTACCCAGGTGCTTTTCATAATTCAGGTGCAAAGCTAGTTTGCTACAGTTTTACAGAAACGGATAGAGTATGAAGTACAATTGAAAGATACAGGGGTCTAACTATGTTAAGAAAACTTAACATCACCAGCATGGCTGCCTGGCCCTAATTTGGTGTGCTACACTTTTACAGAAACAGATAGAGTATGAAGTACAATTGAAAGATACAGGGGTCTAACTATGCTAAGAAAACTTAACATCACCAGCATGGCTGCCTGGCCCTAATTTGTTCATCATCTAGGTTGTTAAACTCAAGATCCTAGAAAAGAACGAAAATGTGTGGTTGTTCGTAACTTGTGGATCATAACTTAATTCGAAGATCCTAGTCTCCTAGTTCATATTTGAAATTTATAAAATTTGTACCCGTATATAACAACTTAAATTTAAGGGGTAATTTGAGTTTGCACCCCATGTTATGGTCTAAATTGGACTTTGCACCCCGTTTTTAAAAATCTTTGATTTTGCACCCCGTTTTTTAAAAATCTTTGATTTTGCACCCCAACCCCATATGAAAAGACAAAAATGTCCCTCCATTAACAATTGTGTTGACCTTCAACATATTCCTAATTGAGGGCATTTTTATCTTTTCATATGGAGTTGGGGTGCAAAAACAAATATTTTTAAAAATGGGGTGCAAAGTCCAATTTAGACAATAATATGGGGTGCAAACTCAAATTACCCCTAAATTTAAAATACAGTCACATTTCATCTACACAAAAAAGCTGTTTTGTTTTATGTCTTATATATCATAATACCACTTAAAGACATTTTTCATTTTTGCATTTCAAAACAAAATATTAATTTAAAATTCACTGGTAAAAAAGGAAACAAATAAATTAGATATTTAACAGCAGTGAATGAAAATAGAATAACTTAAAGAAGTTAAATGATTGCATGAAAACTTAAATTTAAAAATTCAATGGTAAGAAAGGAAACAAATAAATTATATATTTAACAGAAGTTAATGAAAATATAATAACTATAAGAAGTTGCATGATTGCATGTTGCGGACTGAGAGGACTTGGAGATTTGATAAAGAAAAAACTGTTAGGCACAAGTATACCACGAGGAGACGAATCTAACAGAAACAACAAAAACTTGCTGAGTACTACTATTGTACTAATGAGGTGATGAGTGACAAAAGATGAGGAAGAGATGGAGAGAAGAATATAAAACCAATTCGGATACATCAGAGAGAGATGGACAGAAAAAGCAGATATAAAGAGTTCAGAAGATTTGACATTTTGCAAGTCTAAAATCATTTTTTATGGATCTGGGCCGATGAGGCAATGACTATGATACAACCCAACGAATGTCTTTCATACTTTCCTGGATCGACACGGCACGACGATCTAGTAATGTCACGACCAAGCACAGTGATCCTAGTCGCCTACCTTTTTCCGATTCTAATAGTGACCCAAATCACTTACCCCTAATCTTCCAGCATGGGATCTTAACAAGAATGTTCAGCATCATGGTTTAAAAAGGGCGGGTTTTGAGGTGCGCCTCAAGGTGAGACATACAAAGAAGGTATCAGGGCTTAGGTTTTTTCCGCAGGTCACGAGGCTAATGCCTCCAAAATTAAGGCATACACCTTGAGGCACGATTTCCTTTGATCTATCTTTTTATTGTATTGTAACTTAAGAAAGGACCAATGCATTAGATTTAAATACAAGGTCCATAGATTAAACATGTGCCCCTAGTCTACACTAAAGCCCTAACAAGTCTTGTTTCATTTAAAGTAATTATTATTAGTCATTTAAATGTTTGCATTCTTCTGCACAAAGAAGTGTTCATACTCCTGCACAAAGAAATCGACAACTTCTTTCTCCTCTCTTCTACTTCATCCCCTTCTCCTCGTCTATTACTCTTCTTCTAAATCTCGTCTCCTTCTTCATCTCCTCTCCTTCACTTCCTCTTCTCCTTGTACTGAGTTGTTGGTCATGTTTTCCTAGAACGGTCAATGTTTTACAAAAGACTGAAAGATAGACACCTCAAATTAAGACCTCTAACCGATGATGAGGAAAATCTTTTGGTTGATGAATTGCCACCCGATGATGAAGGGCTTGTTTTCATATCTGTGTTTGTCTTTCAGACCTTTTGGACTTATATGCATTTCTTTAGTTGCTTACTTGTTTATTACTAGTTTAACTAATTTCAGTTTTATTTGTTGGTATATTTTGGAGAGTCATGGCGGACCGATTAAGGTGTTGTTGTGTGATCGAGAGGTCACAGGTCAAGTCTTGGGAGCTGCCTCTTGTAAAAAATTTGACAGGGGAAGGCTTGCCCTTTATACACCCTTATGGTGGGACCCTTCTCACGATCCTCACCTTGCGGGGATGCCTTTGTGCACTAGGCTTCCCTTTTATTTGTTGGTATATTTTGAGACTTACGCTTCAATACGCCTCGAGGCTTACGCATCACCACTCCGGAACAAACCACCATGATACCTGAACTAGCCTTTTTAAACCTTGGTTTGTTCAGCGTGTATATCAAGTCTAACTCTATTCAGAAGTTCCGAATCTAATCATTAATTAAGAAAAGAACCATCACTTAATAATTACTAAACTAATGGACATTCAGAAAGACAAGAAACTGCTAAACTGTGAAGAAACTTGTTCAATTGCCAAAATAAACATTGAAGAAACTTGTTTTTTTTCATATGAACAATCAATAAAATGTGAGAACGTGGTAAATGGTTTCATAATAAACCTAAAAGGAAAGAAGAAATTGATTAACGTTTCCATTATGGAATTTCCTATCCCTAACAAATAGGGATCCAATATCAAACAGTAAGAGGCATGATGTCTGCAGCAAAACTGTAAAGAGAATGCTCTCCTAGAAGGACAAGTACTGACCTCTGTAGTGAGAGGACAAAATACTTTGACAAGGTCTGAAAGGACCTTTTCTGATGGAAGATATTGCAACTCGGAAAGGTGGGCGTAGAACACACGAGAATGATGAATTATAAGACTGTGTGTTGCTGGACATATGAGGCATATAAGCAACTCCAGAAGCAAGACATGATACATTTGGCATCATATCCAAACCCTTCATTCCAGACCTGCACAGGGGTGGACCTAGCATTTCAATCCAGGTGGGGCCAAAACTTTCATATATATAATATATAATATAATATATAATATAACTTCAATTGCATAGCAACAGTCAAATACAAAAATATATATTGCAAATGTTTTACGAGAATAAGAGTTTCCATTGAAGTAAAATATGAAAAGCACATCATAATTCATAAATTAATATATTTTTGCGGGCTTTTATAGAATGGTATCCCCTGATAATGACACCATCACTGTCAATTTTCAAGAAGATTTCTTTTTCAAAATGATACCTTTTTGTCTATGGGTTTACATAATCTATTTGACATTTCTTCAATCAGATCTACTAGAGGCCTTTACAATCCTTAGTTTAGTACCTCCATTCACTTCTACTTCAATAGAATTATAGTATCCCTTCAAATCTACCTTCATTAGTTTTTTGTACTCTACAAGACTACACCTATCCACCACATCATACGATAAGTTAGAATATAGCAAAAAGATTCTCGCAAGTATATTAGAAACAGTAGGATTAATATTCATGGACACAAATCATACTCATATCATTAATTGCCCGAATACGTTCAACACAAACCACAACCAAATTACATATCACCGATTCATGTAAATTGATCTATGATAGCAAACTTTCTAAATATGCAATGCAATGGAAATGCCTAGCATGTGTTAGTCAGTAGTCACTACAATTGAGGTCAAACAAATAGGCAGATGCATTTCGGTTTGCTATGAATTAGAGGTATAAGAAACAGGAAAATAAACTTTTTCGTATTTAGCCGGAATAACAAATTTCAATTCCCTAAATTTCACTAAATGAAATTTCTGATCATTACAATTTACTAATTGAACAAAATGGTAAATTAGTACTCCATATTTGATTTTTTTTCTCAAACGCAACATAAAAATTACAAAGTTAATCAGGAAGAGTGGAAGTTTTTGTCTTTTGAACAGAGTGGAATTTAGGTTTACCTAGCTGAGTAGAGAGCCAGAAAGACAGAAAGCAGAGTTTTTCCGGCGTGCGTGGGCTGCAGACTCGCTGAAGACGGGTTGTCGCCTAGTCACCCGTGCTGAACTTTCGAAGAAGACATGACGAGAGACGATTGTTCGACAGACTCATGCTGGTTTTAGTTTTTGCATTTGGGCCTGATGGACAGCCCCGTATGCCAGAGCCCTTGGGATCTTTTTAGTATGGGCCTTATTTTCTCCATATCACTTCCATTTTTAAATAATTGCAATATTTATGGATTTTATATTATTTACATCATCTAATTTAATTATATTTTATGTATTAATGTATTAAAATATACTCAAAATAACATTTTCAAATTTATATTATTTCAAATTTTCAAAATGATTTTTTTTAACTTTTTACTAACAACAACTTTAATATATGTATGATCAAAGTTGTACATTGATAAATATGAAAATAAGATTATTCTAAATAAGGAGTGGATATGCAAAAAAAAACTAAAGAAGAACGGATGAAGAATATGTTACCCCCTCCATCCTTCTAACTTTGTGTCATTTTACATTTTTTCGTTCGTCCCATTGAGTTTGTGTCATTTCATATTTGATAATATTTGGTTGTTTACAATTCATTCTTACTTTATTTATATTTTATTAATTCAATATCAACCACGTAATTGCATTTAAAAAAAACTGCATCCCACACTATTGTCTCAATCTTAGTGGGGCGAAAGTAATACTATTCCCCCTTCATTTCAGTATGGGCCTAGACCATACTTAGCATAAGGACCAATCTACCCATGATTCCCATGAACCTACTTGCTGTATAGCAGATTATGAAGGAAAACATATCAAATATATAATAAGGCTTGTTTGCAAACACTTCTGTTTGGTTAATGGCCCAGGCTTAGGACCGGCCCATTTACCCTTTCTTCCAGACGTACGTCCAGATAGGTCACTAAGATAGCTTGGCAAGCCTATCCCCTCCAGGATGGACGAACATCTTCAGATGGGGTTCAGTCTCAACAGCCCATCTCGACGAACGTCTATGCAGGGACAAGGAGCAGGACGACGGGCCACCTGAATGGCGACGAACGTCGCCAGAGCAAGCCCATAGTCATTTGAGGTAGTCCAACCCACATGGCGAGAATCCATGGAGGCCAGGGGACGAACGGCTGATACCCCTTAGAGGCCACCTGGAGCAATCCAACTCGCTCCCCTGGCGGGCGAACGTCCCCACTAATTAGGCGGAAAACCTAGATTCTGGCGGGAAGTGCATTTAATGCTGAAGATTTGGTGGTTGAGACACCAGCGAACCACAGGCTTCCACGTCAGTATAGCCACCTGCCCATTGGTGGGTATAAATAGAAGCATTTATTTCATTGTAAGGGGTTGGCAACTTTCTATTCTTAGCACTCTAGCTATAGTATTCTTATTCACAGCACTTCTACTGCCTTGTGAGACGAACGGCCGACGGAGCCTTAGCGGAAAGTATTGTATTAGGGAGTTATTAAGAGATAATAATACCTAATCACTTACTTGTCACCTGATTGTTTCTTGATCCTTATTACTTGCTAGTTGGGTTAGTTCACTCACACACACTCCACTCGAAATCCTTGGGCTTACGTGTTGGACCCGAGGGTTGAAGGAATAAACATCAACAACTTCAAAAAAGCGTTTCCCAATTTTTGGCTTAAAAAAGTTAAAAAAAGTGTTTTCAAGTGGCAACTTTTACTTAAATTAATACTTAAAAGATAAAAGCTAGATTTTGTTTTTTACTTCTTCTATCACACAAAAAACACTTATTTTACCAAACGCTACCAACTTTTACTTGTGAGTAGTGTTTGCAAACAAAGCTTAAGTTAGGTAAAATCAAGTGTGGTTAATGTAAACATTTTTTGTGTACACATTCATACATTTGTTTGTCTACGCACATCTGCAGGATCCTACATATGTGTAAGATAATTTTAGTGGTTCAAAATATTTCACTTTATTATTATACTCAAATTTCAACCACAATTTTTACATTTTCCCGGACCTTATTATTCATTGTACCAAATTCAAATGATGAAGGAGGTATTATTTTTAGGGGAAAAGGGGCAAATACCCCCTTGAAGTTCTCACCAAAGAACAACTAAGCCCTTAAACTTTTTTATTGGGCAAAAAGCTTTAAAATCATTGAAAGGGGGGCAATCACTCCCTTGCTAATGGCGAACTAGTTAACGTTGCATCTATGGAGTTTTCAATTAGTTCATTTGGTTACTGTTGAGGTTTATACCTTCAACCCTTGGGTCCAACACGTAAGCCCAAGAGTTTCGAGTGGATAGATGTGTGAATAAACTAGCCCAACTAACAAGTACGATGGAATCAAGGGGAACAGGAAATAGCAAGTAAGTGATTAGGTATTATTATCTGTTAATAACTCCCTAATACAATACTTTTGCTAAGGCTCGTCGGTCGTTCGTCTTACAAGGCAGTAGAGGTGCTGCGAGTAAGAATGCTATAGCTAGAGTGCTAAGAATAGAAAGTTGTTAACCCTTTACAATGAAATAAATGCTTCTATTTATACCACCAATAGGCAGTTGGCTACGCTGACGTGGAGGACTGTGGATGGCTGGTGTCCCAACCACCAAATCTTCAGCATTAAATGCACTTCCCGCCAGAATCTAGGTTTCCCGCCTAATTAGTGGGGACGTTCGTCCACCTGGGGAGGTGAGCCGCTCCTGGTGGTTTTGCAAAGGGTACTGGGCCGTTCGTCCCCTGGCCCTTAGGGGATTTCGCCATGTGGATTGGATTGCCTCCAGCGGCTATGGGCTTGCTCTGACGACGTTCGTCGTCATTCTGGTGGCCTGTGGGCCTGCTCCTTGTTGGCTGCGTAGACGTTCGTCGGGATGGGCCGCTGAGCCCGAGGCTCTTCTTCAGACGTTCGTCCGTTCTGAGTTGCCTGTCAGGTTAGCCTAGTGTCTTATCCGGACGTACGTCCGGGTGAAGGGGTAAATGGGCCGAACCTCAATTTGGGCCATTAACCCAACACAAGTCCCCCACTTCTGATGTTCTGAGCATGCACAGGACATAAGGAAGTATAATGCCCCTCAAGGGTAGGACGCTCGTGGCCTAGTACTTGTGCTTGTTGTACCCTGCGAAGGCGTACGCTCGTGGTCATGGTGCCTACCAGCTGGCAGTGGTTCAGGAATCGAGGTGACGGCTGCCATAACAACGGTACAATTTCCGAGGAAATATCATCATTACGCTTCCATCCCACGCACAGCTAGTGGGCCGGGATACGCTCCTTGCTACGTGTCATCCCCCCGTTGGTTCCTCCATCGGTGCTGCTCTTATAAATGCCGGGTTTTCCCCTTAAATTAGGGTTCCCGATTTCTGCTTTCTCGCTCTAGAATCTCTGCTGCCCTCCGAGTTTCCTCCCTGCTTCCAAGTTCAGCTAATCTTCTTGTAAGGTAATTTTCCCTCTTCTCCTTCTTCTCTCTGTCTAGAATTCTTGCAACAATGACTTCGATGGAGATTTTGTCGAGCTCTAGCTCTAGTTCATCGGGCTCCGGTTCTGGTTCCTCTTCGGATTCCGGTCCGCGCTCCTCTGGAAAGCCTAGTGTCTCCGGCCATTCCGGCTCTGCCTCCACCGTGGGAACTGTTCAAACCGATGATACTCAAGATGTCGTCCCTTCCCCGGCTGCGGGGGATGCGAATGCCACCTCCAGTGGCACAGCCCAAAGTAGCGGGGGGAACACTGAGGATGGAAATGTTGACGGGGCGGTGGATGTTATTGATGCGATCCCCCTGAATGAGCGCCCCGCTGATTATGATTCTGGGGATGAGGCCGAGTCCGGCTCCGATATGGAAGTGCATGAGCTGGGCATCCCTATCGATGTGGAGCGCCACATTTGCCCGATCAAGAGTGCCCTTGAACATGAACAAGCCCTCTCCCGTGTTGCTTTGAACAAGATCCGGACTTTCTTCCCCCCCGCCGTTCGTCTATAGCGTGAGAGGCGCCGAGCATGTGATGAGAAGACGGCCGGGAATGA